AGGACAAATAATGCGTGTTAAGGATATCCATTATTTGGGTATGTTGGTCAGAACAGGAGCTCCGTAATTAGGGTTTGCACAAATGCAGAATACTTAAATTTGCAATTTGCATAAGGACATGCTACAGTTGTCAGACAAGCTGACTACATTAATGTGTATTTGCTATAATGGTATATTAAGTAGAATTGTGTTTACCTAAAAGTGAAATTAACACATCATGATGAAAATTTGTGTTCTTGACACTGAAAATGAAAAACACTACTCAGAACAATGATATAGCATGGTTTTTAACAGAAAACTTTAAAATGTTGCATTTCTATTCCCTACTTGTGTTGAGCATGTTCCCTGTACATTCCCATTTATTACAGATGTACTGTAGCAAAACATATTGACAGAATCTGATTCAATTTAACATGCATAAACCTAACATTTTTTTAAATGAAATACCATACTGCGTCCTCAGTCCAGACATGCATTTGACATTGAGAGGCATGCATGGATTTATAACAGCATTACTGGAACTTAACAAATAACGGATACCAATGATCATGTTTGAACACAGTTGCTGCTAATGATTCTCATACAATTTCCCTGACCAGTATGGATAGGAATTTATTTCACCTGAGTACAGAGTTAAAATTATAGAACTGTGCTACAGAGTACTAGGGAATCTCATAGCCTGAAGCAGTGCTTTTCAACCTTTTTCCATATTGGGACACTGCCCCCTCCCCGCCAGAAATCCTTTCCCATCTAGCAGGGATTTAACTGGGTCCCTCCTCTTATTTGGAGATCAAGAAAAAGAACGGCTGTCATAAACCCCCGACACCTGTTCATGACCCCAGTGGTCTTTAGCATGTTTTGGTTTCCCAGAAAAAGAAAATTTACATTAATTACATTAGTGGTTGTCATGGTTTCAACCATATTAAGGAGAAAAACCTTATAGAAAGTTGGAACATGATTATGATTTCATTTAGCCATCATGATCTCTACTGTAAAGATATACTAATGGTTATGACATGTAAATGCATGTTTAGGTACTTTTTAAAATGTTTTGTTCACCCAGCAAGTCACACTTTTCAGTAAGGATATTATCTACCTGAATGATTCCTTTAGCTGCATCTCTGGCTTCCCCAGTAAATGTGAATCAAGTTTTACTTGCCCCATTCATGCATATAAGTCCACTTAAAGCCAGTGGGACAATCACATGGGTAGAGCCAACAGGATGAGGCCCCTATATATGTTGGTACATTTACTAGTTTAAAGTAAACACGTTTTACTTTGAAAAACACACCTTGTTAGCTTACATAAACAATTCTTTTGCAGATCTAACAGTGTTTTGGCTAAATACCAAATATTCTATAGTGCATGCATGAATTTCAAAGTCCAAGCTTCATGTAAACACAGAAGAGCCCCTTGATTAAATCTGTATTTAGATGCTTTAGGGTAGCTTCATTCAGGTACAGTATAGCATCACAGTACGCACCAGTCATTGTACAAATCCATCTAAATTCATGAACCAGCATGGTTGTTAAAATGGCCTATTATGTTAGTACAAGTGTTGCATTTGCTAAACACCTTCCTTGTTGATTTTTAAATGTTAATATCACTAAAATCTTTCTAAACCGAACAACACAACCATCCTAAAGCTGCTATTCAAGCACTAATGATTATCATGCTGCTCTTGTATCAGCAGTAGTTTCACCATAGTTAAAGTTGAACTCTAACACAGGTTATAGATCAAATCTTATTGAACCAGCAGAAACTAAAAACACAGAATGGAAACTGAGCAATTTTGATTTCCATGGTTGTTTGATGAAAAATGAATTGCTTTGGTGATTTTTTCCCCCCACTGGATTGTCTCCTTTTGCAAGCAATCTAAAACCCTCTGGAATCTGTTCTTTGGCACATGGTTGCTTTTCTTGTGCTGTTTCATAGAATATCAGTTGCACATTGGGAGCGATTATCTTCAAAGACTTTTATAACTTTTTAGTCACAAAATGCAAACCCATTCAATTTTAATCTGATGACAAATCTGCTGCAGGGTGAATGCCATTCACTTACAGTGGGCAAGGCAGGGAGATTTTCACCAGATACCTCTAAGCTTAGAAAAATTCCTTGAACTGGGAAAGAGGGGACCAGGAGTTCAAATCTCACCTCTTAAACTGTAAGTTACCATGCAATTCACTATCTTTATTATTGACTAAATCCACAAAACTTTTGTTTGCTATGGGGCTCCATATGGCTATTGTAAAAAAACTGACTTAAATAATGAGTGCCTCTTTAAAAATTTAGAACACCCCCCCGTTAAACTGTAAGGGCTTCATTAAGTGTCTGCTAAATTCAAGAATTAGCTGCTACAGCTGGGAGTACACAAATAAGGAAAGCAGGTAACAGCAGCACATGGCAGCATTTTTACAGCCAGGTATCAGGGGGGCAACTGGGTGAGTCTGTATCCACAAAAACAATGAGGCGTTCGGTGGCACCTTAAAGACTCACAGGTTTATTTGAGCATAAGCTTTCATGGGTAAAAAACAGCTTTTACTGTGATGTTGTTATTCATGATCCTTTATCTGTGGGATGGAAAGAGCTAATGTACCAACATTTTTTGTATATCTTTACCCCATCTGATTTATAACAGATACATAATGGATTTATTTAATTGCCAATTTTTAGCTAACCAATGCTGGTTTTCACGTAAATATTTGTAAAAAATGTGAAAACATTCAATCCTAGTGTTTTTTTTTAAACCTGTATACAACATAAAAAGCTAAAAGGTTCTCCCTCCCCCCAAAAAAAAACATTTACCGGTAAGTTAATTTCAAGGCCATCTTCTCCAGCAGCTGCCTCGCACGCTCATAGATCCAACTCTATACTCCTACAATTAGCAATTTGAAAACAATATGCTCAACGCATACTGAAGATTTAGAGGTGGTTGCTGGGAAAGGATTCCTCCTCTTGAAGAAGCGAAATCAAACTGTAGTGTCACACCAAGTGTTTTAGAAAGAGGCAAATTCCAGTCTTGCAATAAGAGTCCTTTAACAGCTCTGCCTCACCCTGAAAAATATTTCCAACTGGAATTCCATCTTTCCTGTGAACTGATGTGCTGTGTACATCTTTTATAGTACATATCTGCTATGGAATGCAATGGAGCAACAATACTGCAAATCTTATTAGTTCATTGTAGCATTCTTTCATCAGTACTTCGCCATTCTTTAGATTTTTACTAGGCAATACATTACATTCGACTGACAAATATGTACAGCATTGTGCTGGGAATAACATTGTTCTGCACCCAATAGCAGCTGAAATGTAATCTCACTGTATCTAACTCACAAAACAGGGCTTTTAGCCCTCCCACCCCCCCCCCCTTACTTGGAAGAAGATAACTCAAATGCAAGAGTCGCTTGCACATGGAGTACCAGAGTTTAGCAAATTACAACTTCACTGCAAAAAATGTAAATGTAACCTTATTTTCCAGCCATCTACTGGTCATACTCCAAAGGCTCAGTCATGGAACTTCCTCACTAAGCCACTTTCATACTTTCCTTTCCAAATGTGAAAACAGGCTAGTTTTCACATTTGACATTAAAAACCACCATCACTTTTTAGTTTAATAACACGTTCACATATTAAGAAGCAAGATTTATTCTTCATGGATTTCTCGGATGAAAAACCAATACTTCCTTATCCCTGAGAAGGACATACAAGTAAAAGCACTACACATGGCCAGAAGAGATTTGAGATTCCTTCTGCTCTGTCTACACTAGACAAAAAGTAATTTAAAAAAAAGACATTGTGTAGAATGCCTAGAGATTGAACCTCTTGTAATGTACCTTTTGGCCACACACCACTGCTATCACAGGAGTTTTTAATCACAAGTATTGATTGCAGCACCTAGGATGAGGCATTTTGCTGAGGTCTGGCTAAATAAGTATAGATTACATTAGTTGCACTTCAGCTTTACACAAAGCCACAAGCCTCACAGCTTCACTGGTTCAGTCAGTGCCAGCTACAATCACCAATGTGCTTCTCCAGGTTTGAAAGTTATCCCCAAAGTCACCACATTTAGCAAGAGACTTGAACACGATAGGACGGATGTTTTGGAGTTTAATCAAATGGTATTGATGCACTTGTGATACCAAAAGGTAAGCGATAGGATAAACAATTTCAGGAAATCAGAATCCCTGCAATGGATACTGAGTGTAGACATGCTCCTCAGGTCCTACCCAGTGACAGTTAGAACTGCATTAAATTATTCTACCCTCTAATTCTGGAAAGCGCTGTTTCCCTGTTAAGTATATCCACATAATTCCTTTATGAACATAGCTGTTTAATGAAGTGAGCTGTAGCTCACGAAAGCTTATGCTCAAATAAATTGGTTAGTTTCTAAGGTGCCACAAGTACTCCTTTTCTGTTTGCGAATACAGACTAACACGGCTGTTACTCTGAAACCTACCGTTGAAAGGACAATTGCAGTGAAATGTTTGCCTCCAAGAGGAAATGCACTTGTGGGATGTTACCCCAAAGGTAGTGTAGACACTTAAACAGCTATAAGAAAAGGAGTACTTGTGGCACCTTAGAGACTAACCAATTTATTTGAGCATAAGCTTTCGTGAGCTACAGCTCACTTCAACAGTAGTTTCCTTCCTTTCAGGTCATGTCCACACACAAGTGTTTCATTATGACCTACAATGGACATTCAATGCATTCAGGGGATTTTGGAGATCAGACCCATTCAGAAACGTGCCTGAATTTATGAAACATTTTTACTGGACTCAAAAGATGAAGTCACAAACCAAAAACATCAGATCTCCTAACTATGGCTTAAAGAACAGTTTTTTCTGTCCCAATACATTATACCGAGTCACAGCTCTTAGCTTTAAGCTAACTGCAAGTGTGTTTAAAAAAAACATGCAAAGAACTTCTATTCAGTATATAGCATTTTCCCCCACCATTAGCTGATGTTTATATTATGCAGTAAAAGCCATTTTTCCACTTACTGGGCCACATCAGATACAACAGGCAGTGGTGACTCCTCTGATGTGAGGTCTATGTCCTCAGTGAAGCTGTTGTCCTGTGACATTTCATTGCTGTTCCCTTCTAAGCGCCTTCTCACTAGACAAATAATTTAGAAAGAGCAGAGTGCATTAGGGAGGCAGCATCTACAAATTCTTTCCCCTCACCCATGAATTTCCATAGTAAATTTTTTTTTAAAAAAAGAGTCCCATCGTAAGACACTACATTTTTAGAGCAGGCGCAATGAATTGTTTGGATTATTATTACACACATGCCACATGCAAAAATACAAATGTACACATAAGATATGGTACATGCCAAGTGAGAACACACACACAGGGACCCTCTTACAGTTAAGTGTTTTTTTCTTGAAGACCACTTTTGCTCTAAGTGGAAGTTCACGACATGAAAAATTGCAATTTGGACACTGCAATGAATGAAAACAATTGGGGACTTTGATTTATTTTGCAATAAATAGTATTGCACTGCATCCAGGTTCTCTATAAGCCAAATACTGGGTCCAGGAGGCTCCCACGTGCCACGCTTCACAGTCACTGAACATTAGAAAAATCTTGAAGAGGAAATCATCACTCAGTGGCAAACATGCGCTGCTTACACAGCGTGTTGGATGCTGTGGAGACCATGAGCATGCACTGTTCTTCCCTGAGGTATGGCTGGGGAGTGGTGACAGGTTGCCAGAAAAAATGACAGCCAGTCAGAAAGAAACCTTAAAAGTCCTTGATCCCCTGTGCTTCCAGCTGACAGCTCAAAGGGAACATGGAACTAAGAAACAGAACAAAGATATTGGGCCAAATACTAGATCTTCTCACCAGGATTAAGGTGTCAAATATAAAGGGAAAGGGGTTAAGAAGCTCTGATACAGTACTATAAAATCCTCTTACCTGTAAAGGGTTAAGAAGCTCAAGTAACCTAGCTCACACCTGACCCAAATGACCAATCAGGGGACAAGATACTTTCAGATCTGGAGGGAGGGGAAAATGCTTGTGTCTGTCTGTGTGATACCTTTGCCAGGAACAGATCAAGGATGCAAGCGCTTCAACTCCTGTAAAGTTAGTAAGTAATCCAGCTAGAAAACGCGTTAGGTTTTCTTTGTTTTGGCTTGTGAAATTCACTGTGCTGGAGGAAAATGTGTTTTCCTGTTTGTGTGTCTTTTTGTAACTTAAGGCTTTGCCTAGAGGGATTCTCTATGTTTTGAATCGGATTACCCTGTAAAGTATTTACCATCCTGATTTTACAGAGGTGATTCTTTTACCTTTTCTTTAAAGAAAATTCTTCTTTTAAGAACCTGATTGATTTTTCCTTGTTCTTAAGATCCAAGGGTTTGGGTTTGTGTTCACCTGTACCAATTGGTGAGGATATTATTCTCAAGCCTTCCCCAGGAAAGGGGGTGTAGGGCTTGGGGGAATAGGACTCCAAGTGGTCCTTTTGATGTTTTGTCTAAATCACTCAGTGGTGGCAGCATACTGTTCAAGGACAAGGCAGAATTTGTGCCTTGGGAAAGTTTTTAACCTAAGCTGGTAAAAATAAGCTTAGGGGGTCTTTCATGCGGGTCCCCACATCCGTACCCTAGAGTTCAGAGTGGGGAGGGAACCCTGACAGGTGGTGTCATAAATATAAAGGGAAGGGTAAACCCCTTTAAAATCCCTCCTGGCCAGAGGAAAAATCCTCTCACCTGTAAAGGGTTAAGAAGCTAAAGGTAGCCTCGCTGGCACCTGACCAAAATGACCAATGAGGAGACAAGATACTTTCAAAAGCTGGGAGGAGGGAGAAAAACGGGTCTGTGTGTCTGTCTATATGCTGCTTTTGTTGGGGATAGACCAGGAATGGAGTCTTAGAACTTTTAGTAAGTAATCTAGCTAAGTATGTGTTAGATTATGATTTCTTTAAATGGCTGAGAAAAGAATTGTGCTGAATAGAATAACTATTTCTGTCTGTATATCTTTTTTTGTAACTTAAGGTTTTGCCTAGAGGGATTCTCTATGTTTTGAATCTAATTACCCTGTAAGGTATCTACCATCCTGATTTTACAGAGGGGATTTCTTTACTTCTATTTACTCCTATTTCTATTAAAAGTCTTCTTGTAAGAAAACTGAATGCTTTTTCATTGTTCTCAGATCCAAGGGTTTGGGTCTGTGGTCACCTATGGAAATTGGTGAGGCTTTTTATCCAACATTTCCCAGGAAAGTGTAGGGAGGATTGTTCATTGTTCTTAAGATCCAAGGGTCTGGGTCTGTAGTCACCTAGGCAAATTGGTGAGGCTTTTTACCAAACCTTGTCCAGGAAGTGGGGTGCAAGGTTTTGGGAAGTATTTTGGGGGGAAAGATGTTTCCAACCAGTAATTGTTTGGTGGTGGTAGCGGCCAATCCAAGGACAAAGGGTGGAATATTTTGTACTTTGGAGAAGTTTTTGACCTAAGCTGGTAAAGATAAGCGTAGGAGGTTTTCATGCAGGTCCCCACATCTGTACCCTAGTGTTCAGAGTGGGGAAGGAACCTTGACAGGAGGGAAATAAGACTATCCACAAAAAATGAATATTGCACGATGGGGATGTGGGAGAGAGAAACCAATTCAGAATTTGTCTCTCCCCTCCACCTCCTATAATCACTTCTTATGGTCCCTCACTCAACCCCACATTAAATCAATTAAATTAAATATTAATATTTAATAAATATTGATTAAATATTAAATCAATATGTAGCAGGATACAAGACAGGTTGCCGAGAAGGATAGAGACTCATTTGCACCATGTATCTATCAATTTCTTGCTATACTCTTAATTTAAGCACTCAAATAGTTGAGACTGGCTAAAAGACATGTCCCATGTTATACGTTAAACAAAGACCTTTTCTGTGGTGTTTGGGAAGAAATATGTAATTATATTAGAGGCTGTATAGCACATAGGCTGCCCAAGCTCATTAACTGATATCCCTGAGAGCATTTTTTTCAAGATGGTGTCTATCAATAGGTTTATTCCCAGCCTGAATTTATGAACATCAGTATTATGGTGAAAGAATGTCTTGTTTTGTGACCCCACATATTCATGCCTTCAGGGAGGAGGAAGAAGAGGATATAGGAAATGTACTCAGTGCTAATGAAGATTAAGAATTCTGGGCTAATATTTCCATTCCCACTGATGGGGGTGGGGAATGTTTAACAAACATTGTGCCAGTTTCATGGGGTAGAAAGCACATCACTATGCTCCCCACTTGTGGGTGAAGTCTGAGGCAGCCTGAAAGTAGTAGAGGGTAGAGCCTGAAAATCTGTAAGACATTTTGGAACAAAATGCAAATACCCCATAGATCTTGCTATATCCCTAAACAAACAACGGCCAACTCTGAGCTTTCCAAGCACACCCATTGCCCTTGTAGCACAAAGTGGCTCATGAATCCACAGTCATGCTGGGGGAACCACTGGCAGCATTTTTCTTCAGGCAGTAGGAAATGGATATTTATTATAAGGCATGATCTCAGAACACAGCTGTTCTAACATGTCCTACCTGATTGATAACCCCATAAATATGTCAATACATTACCACCATAATCAGAGCTTTTCAGAAGCTACATTGCAAGTATGTTGCAGAGCCACTATTACCCCTTTTCGTGTACTCTTAGCCATACTTGTGTTTAGCTCCCTCCAGGTTGTCCAAAGAGGGATACATACTTCTCTAGACACTAACCAATTTATTTGAGCATGAGCTTTCGTGAGCTACAGCTCACTTCATCAGATGCATACCGTGGAAACTGCAGCAGACTTTATATATACACAGAAAATATGAAACAATACCTCCTCCCACCCCACTGTCCTGCTGGTAATAGCTTATCTAAAGTGATCATCAGGTGGGTTTAAACTTGGAGCTTCAATCAAGTTTAAACTTGGAGAGTGGTCAGTTTAGATGAGCTATTACCAGCAGGAGAGTGAGTTTGTGTGTGTATGGGGGTGGGGGGGATGTGAGAAAACCTGGATTTGTGCAGGAAATAGCCCGACTTGATTATGTAAAGAGTTGTCACTTTGGATGGGCTAGCACCAGCAGGAGAGTGAATTTGTGTGGGGGGGGTGGAGGGTGAGAAAACCTGGATTTGTGCTGGAAATGGCCCACCTGATGATCACTTTAGATAAGCTATTACCAGCAGGACAGTGGGGTGGGAGGAGGTATTGTTTCATATTTTCTGTGTATATATAAAGTCTGCTGCAGTTTCCACGGTATGCATCTGATGAAGTGAGTTGTAGCTCACGAAAGCTCATGCTCAAATAAATTGGTTAGTCTCTAAGGTGCCACAAGTACTCCTTTTCTTTTTGCGAATACAGACTAACACGGCTGTTACTCTGATACTTCTCTAGCTTTCTGAATAACCAGCTCTCTGCTCCTTCCAGATTTTTAATACACGCGGAGACATTGGCTTCCTAGACTTAACATATACACAAATTTTCAAAACAATAGCTGTGAATGGGAAAGTTTAATTATTTCAGGCAATTTACTATGGGCCCATTTGTACAATCCTTACTCAAGTCTAACTCCTACTGACTTCAGTCCTCTAAATATAGGGCTATAAGCACTGTTTCTCTGAGATGACCTTTTTGTAGACTCATGGTATTGTATTTTTTCATGTTTTTCATTCCAGTCAAGAATAGTTAGAATTTTTCTATGATCTTTTGATAATCATCCATTTTCCTGCCTTCTTCTTGTACTTACCTTTTGAGTTTAATCTGCAATTGAAAACTCTTTGGAAGGAGAATGGTTTGGATTGATAGCACTATAATTTTGTTTAGGTGAAAAAAACTGATCATTTTGCTGCTTTCTTCAAGGCCAGACGAATATTAAGCATGTCATTTGAAGCAATAGGAAAAAAGGGAAAGTTTATGATGACAAGAAATTAACTCTCTCTTTCAGTTAAACTAAAACTCTGCTGATTCACCAGCTTCAATCATGAAAACTTGAGGTTTAATTTGGTTAAATTATGAGTACATTATAACCTGATGCTGGTGAAATTAAAATATCCACATTTGTTTTCATGCACTTTTTGGATAGTTCTTTTGGATCTGTATTATAGCAGTACCCTGTTCCTCCAAAATATCTTGATG